ATAAAGATCTTTCTTTCCCCATTGTTTGATAGAGTAATAGGAAAAATCTCGGAAAATGGGTCATTGTTCTGTTCTTGTTATTCTGGTCCTGAGTAGCTTAGTGATGCTCTGTAATGGAGGCATCACTAGTAGATTTGTGAGGAAATTAGAAAAAACTGTTGATATGCCACTTGATAGCGATGTTTTTTGTGTTCCTCCTGGTTATAATGCTCCTCAACAAGTACGTACACCACCTTTAATCTTTCATTTTTTTTTTATAATAAAATTAGCAATCTTTTTCTGAGTTTTCTTGTGGGTTCTGTTTATCATTATTAAATTTCGAAGCTTTATGGTAGGTGTGTTTCGTAATCTTTCCAATTTAATATTAGGTTTATCACTTTTTGTTATAATGGCGAAAAAGCTATTTATTGGATGATTCTGATCGATTCTTATTGGAAGATTATAAAAATGCCAACTTTTCTTTTCTACTTTGTTGAGAAATTTTTTTATGTTAATGAGTTTTTGATTTGGTTTTGGAAAAAGGTGCATATAACACAAGGAGATGTAGAGGGAAAGGCAGTGATAGTGTCTTGGGTGACTCAAGAAACAACAGGATCTAACACAGTCCTTTACTGGAAAGAGAATAGCTCCAAAAAGCTTAAAGCTCATGGCAAATCCAAGACTTACAAGTTCTACAACTATACTTCTGGTCACATTCATCATTGCCCCATCAGAAACTTGGAGGTCAAATCATCATCAAATTCTTCATCATCAAGTAGTATACTATTGTTATTTATTATATCTCATCTTGTGGTTCTTTTTTGCAGTATGATACCAAGTACTACTATGTGTTAGGTGTGGGACAAACAGAGCGCACGTTCTGGTTCTTTACTCCTCCTGAAGCTGGTCCGGACGTTCCTTACACGTTTGGTCTTATTGGTAATTGTCCTGAAACATATTCATGGTTTTAACAAAAAGTAGCCTCCCATGGACTTGAACATGAATTGTTTTTGCAGGGGATCTTGGACAGACTTTTGACTCAAACATAACCTTAACGCACTATGAGAATAATCCAACAAAAGGGCAAGCGGTTATGTTTGTCGGGGATCTCTCATATGCTGATCAATATCCGAATCACGATAATAATAGATGGGATAGTTGGGGAAGATTTGTTGAAAGAAGCACAGCTTATCAGCCCTGGATTTGGACCGTAGGAAACCATGAACTTGATTTTGCCCCCGAGATTGTAAGTTTCTTTGTTTTGGCTTAAAAATGCTATAGCACAAAGAGATATAATAGCATCTAGTTGGACCAGCATTACATGTATTAAACTGAGATTGAGATGGATTGTTTTTTTTTTTATGTGCTGTGCAGAAAGAAACCAGACCGTTTAAACCATTCAAGCATAGGTACCGTACTCCTTACCGATCATCAGGCAGTACAGAACCATTCTGGTACTCGATTAAGCGAGGACCGGCTTACATAATCGTGCTAGCTTCATATTCAGCATATGGTAAGGCATCTTAAAATTCTTGAACCTGTTTCGTGCGATATTCTTAAGCCAATACTAAGAGGACTTGAATACTCCCATCTTTTCTTGTGCAGGTAAATACACGCCGCAATACACATGGCTCGAAGAGGAATTCCCAAAGGTTAACAGAACGGAAACTCCATGGTTGATCGTTCTGATGCATTCACCATGGTACAATAGCTATGATTACCATTACATGGAAGGTGAAACCATGAGAGTGATGTACGAGCCGTGGTTTGTCAAAAACAAAGTTGATGTTGTTTTTGCTGGTCACGTCCACGCCTATGAAAGATCAGTAAGATAAAAAAAAAAAAACTTTAGCTCCTCATGTCTCTTTAAAACTATAGATCCTAAGAAATGTGAGCTATTGTGAAACCAGGAACGCATATCAAACATAGCTTACAACATAGTTAACGGAATATGCGCTCCTGTTAAAGACCAATCTGCTCCCGTCTACATTACCATTGGTGATGGAGGCAATCTTGAGGGATTGGCTACCAAGTAAGTTACAAAGATTTCTGCTCATCTTGATTAGATTCTGATGCTGTTGTTTTGAATGTGTGACAACTATGATTTCTGCAGAATGACAGAGCCTCAGCCTGAGTACTCTGCCTTCAGAGAAGCGAGCTTTGGACACGCGATATTCTCGATAAAGAACAGGACCCACGCGTACTATGGATGGCACAGGAACCAGGATGGTTACGCCGTTAAGGGTGACACAATGTGGTTCCATAACAGATTCTGGCATCCTATTGATGAGTCTCCTTCTTTTGATTCTTGAGAATCTTATTTGTATACATCTCTTCTTCGATTGAATAAAAAACGAATAAATGCAATGCAAGTGAGTTCTTGATTATAAAACCAAACGTTACTCACTAAGTTTGAGTTTTTTTTTGGACAAACTGACTAGTTAAGTAAAATCTTGATTATGAAAAGGATTCAAGTGATGTGCCGTTTCTTGACATCTAAAAACAGCACGTAGTTCTTGTAAAGTTGGTAAGAACGGCATCGATGAGTGTCTCTGTTTTCTCGTTTTACGCAAGAAGTGAAATCCAGCCGGAACCCTAGTTACTCGGTTCCGATTCGATTCGAGGCAGCAAAAATGTCGGAGAACAAATCGAAGTTTTATGATCCATTGCAACGTTCTTCATTCTCTTCTCTCAGGGACTCAACGTTTGTTTAGGCGATTGCAAGAAGGTGAGCCTCAGATTCGAGTATGTTCTTTTACGATTCTATCTATCTCCTTCGTTTCGCTAATTCCCATCATGGGTTGTCTGCTAAATGCCAGTGCCTGAAACACATAACCTTTCTCTGAAACATGAGTTTGTTAGAAGCGTAACTGTTTGAAAAGTAACCTGTTTTGGCTTTAATCAGTTGATGTTATCTACGGTTTTATTGTGTATGCTTCTCTCTGTGACTTGCACATATGTTTAGTGTCGATCCCTGAGGCGAACTCTGTGTACAAAAGTATATTGTTTACACATACGGATCCAAGGAGTGTCTCTCTTGATTAGTTTGTAACGAGTATTGGTAATGAGATGGAACATAGTACTCTAATCTTGTCACTTATTAGCTCTTGTAGGATTTATTTCAATTCCTTTAGCTATAGCTCAAATGCAGAAAGGTTTGAAGAAACTGAATATTCTTATTTTGCAATGTAATGGTTTGATTCTCTCTGATTTCCTTCCCTTTACTAAATTTGCCAATTGTCTCTTTGTGCAAGCAGGTTTATATGCATCGATTCTTTTGGCTTAATTCGAGAGATCGATTATACGCATCTCTAAAATGAAAAATCTAACACCGAGAGTTTGACTACCACCTGGATTGTGATCGAAGCCAAGTCACATAACTAAAGAACCCAACAAGTGTGACTTCACAACTGGTTTTCCCTCGCACGAAAATCCAAGAAAATAGAAACAGAAAAACCACTGACTATATCCGGAGAGAAGAAGAAGAAGTATGGAATTAGGGATTATGTGGTTGGTTAAAGGTGCTTGGATCGCTGCTATACTTCCTTTGTTGATCGCTTTTATACCCACTTCCAAACTCACCTCGATTCATCAACTCGTTTTGGGCTTCGCAAGGAGAGGCAAAATCCTGCAGCCTTCGTCTCAGGTTTTTCTCAAAGTTTTGGACTTTTGTTTTTACTGAAAAATCTGGGGATTAGTTCAGTTGATGTGAATATGGCACTTTGGTTTCATCTGATTCGGTTGCTGCTGGTTGTGGAATGGACTTGGAATATGTTCAAGTAATCGGAAGTTTTTCGATTTTGTAAATCTGATGACCCTTAAGTTCTCCTTCTTGATTGTTTCCTTTTTGTTATGGATGTAGAAATGGACAGTTCCTCAGAAATTCTTTGCTCACTTCTATGTTATCGGAGTGGCGTGGACGACTTTTGTGCTCGCTACCACTTGGATGTATGCTTGCAAAATGGCACCTTTATTTTCAGAGGAGTTACAGTTTTCCGACATTGCAAGCCGCTTAGCCGGAGGTTCCCATGTTTTCTCCTTTCAAAAATCACATTTGACTCTTGTCGAGCATCGGTTTAAAGTGTGGCGAGCAATGTTTCTACTTCTTCTGATGGAAATCCAAGTTTTGAGACGCCTTATAGAGTCAATCTATGTATTCAAGTATAGCCCTTCTGCTCGGATGCACATTTTTGGTTATCTTGCAGGATGGTTGTAAGTTTCTCAATAAAACTCATCACATTTAAGATGTAGAAAGCTTGATTGGCTTTTGCTTGGCTTTAATTTGTGTTTCTAGTTTCTATACAGCAGCGCCTTTATCACTCTGCCTCAATATCGTTCCAGAGGTTGCAAGATTCGCTGGAAATCAAGTGGCTGAGTTCATTGCTAAAGGGAAAGGCCATACTTCATCCCCTGGATTTAATTTATTATTGTCTTTAAGCCCTCTGATGAAGCTTAGATCGTTCCAGTGGATTGGTGCAGCCATTTTTCTCTGGGGATGGATACATCAGTGTCGCTGTCACGCAATTCTCGTAAGTTTTAACAATTAGTTTTGTTCGTTGTTTGTGTGTTTAGATCCTGAGAAATAACAAAATGTTAATGCAGGGATCGCTTCGGGAAAATCCGACCCATGCGAACGAATACAGAATTCCGCGTGGAGATTGGTTTCGAATAGTCTCTAGTCCACATTACTTGGCAGAAATTGTAAGAAATCTTCCCTTATAAAAATATCTTCATGCTCTTTTTTCCTTGTCTTCGCTTATGATATGATGCTCTGAAATATAGGTTTTATATGTTGGTTTGCTGATTGCAAGTGGAGGAACAGATATAACCATCTGGCTACTCCTTGGTTTCGTGGTACTGTGCACTTTCACATTTCTAAACCAGTTAATGCTTTGTTTTTGAAGGTTTGTTTGGATTCTGAGAAATGGTATTATCCCGCTAATCGACGTGCCATTTTCCCTTATGTTTACTAAATAGTCAAATAGATAGAAGAACACAACTTTTCCAAGTTTATACGGTAGTTGAATATTCTTGTTTCTGAAAATCAAAGACTTCTGGTGCTATGTTGTGTTATAACAGCTATGCTTCTCATGTTACTGGTTGGAGCTGACCAATGGAGCCAGTTGAACGAATAATTTTAAGGCCATGTTGATATCTCCACAGTTCTATGGCCCGCATAAATCTATAGAAACTGAGAAGATATCAACCCGGTCTTACAAGTATTAACTATGGAGTGGCGGCGTGATGCAACCCAGCATGTTGCGTCTTAGAACGGTCACAGGTCAAATCTTCTCTGCTTATATGAAACCTATTTGATGTAATGTGAGAGTTTGTATGCAAAAGGCTCTCTGAGTCTTGCTTTGGTTTTCATGTACGGTAGAGTTTACCAAAGTCTTATCCATCTTGAATGGGCAAACTATGCAATGCTCTAGTTGTATTCTTGCAACAGAAAGGGTAAATTGCAACAATTTTTTAGTGACTTTTATGCGAATTTGGAAGAAAAGTAAAGCCGACTCTGGCAAAAAAACATGAGTTTACAAATAATATAGAGGGTTTGTATATGTTTTTTTTCCTTTCCTATTGTCTTACTTGTAATCTTCATGATTCTTCGTATTGTACAAGTTAGAAAAAGGATTAGATTTATGTTCCGTTTTTGTTATGGGTTTGGTCCTGAACAGCTTAGTAATGCTCTGTAATGGAGGCATAACCAGTAGATATGTCATGAGATTAGAGGGAACCGTTAGTATGCGTCTCAAGGAACATCACTCTCAAGAGGCATATCAACGGTTTCGTCAAATCTCCTTACATATCTATTGGGTATGCCTTCATTACAATGCATCACTAAACTGTT